TTAAGAGGCCTTTACAAATCATGCTTCCCATTATGTAGGGGGAAATCACTTGGTTAAAATCCCAAGATTACAGGTGATTAGGATACTTTCTCCCACAAGCCATTGCCATGTCTTTTCTATCATTTTGGCTCCTTTTACAACAGACCAGTATTGTTAATATCAAGAAATTTCACTTTTCAGAGCCAACAAAAGTTAGTATATACATAGAATCACAGAATCATAGTTAGGGTTGGAAAGGACCTTAAGATAACCTAGTTCCAACCCCCCTGCCATGGGCAGGGACCCCTCACACTAGACCATGTCACCCAAGTCTCTGTCCAACCTGGCCTTGAACACTGCCAGGGATGGAGCATTCACAGCTTCCCTGGGCAACCCATTCCAGTGTCTCACCACCCTCACAGTAAAGAATTTCCTCCTTATATCCAATCTAAACTTCCCCTGTTTAAGCTTTAACCCATTTTCCGTTGTCCTATCACTACAGTCCCTGATGAAGAGTCCCTCTCCAGCATCCCTGTAGGCCCCCTTCAGATACTGGAAGGCTGCTATGAGGTCTTTTTTATTTTGCATTATTATCTACAGAATTAATTAAGTGTGGATGATTCTGGGTAGGCAGACATAAAATTGATAGAAAAAGTGGTTATATAAATGTAACTACCCTTAAACTAATAAATGTAACTATCTTTTTTTTTTTTTTCCTTTTAATATGGAAAAAAGTAAGCTATGTCCCCCAAAAGGTCAGTGAAGTATAATGTTTTCCTAGAAAAAAAAAAACACCCAGGAAATTCAGGTGGAGGTTTATGACTCAAAGTGAATTTCAGCCAGCATTGTGATATCTAGAATCATAGAATCACATTATGGTTTGGGTTGAAAAGGACCTTAAGATCATCCAGTTCCAACCCCACTGCCATGGGCAGGGACCCCTCACACTAAACCATGTCACCAAAGGCTCTGTCCAACCTGGCCTTGAACACTGCCAGGGATGGAGCATACACAACTTCCCTGGGCAACCCATTCCAGTGCCTCACCACCCTTACAGTAAAGAACTTCCTCCTGATATCTAACCTGAACTTATCCTGTTTAAGTTTAAACCCATTACCCCTTGTCCTACCCCTACAGTCCCTGATGAAGAGCCCCTCACTGGCATCCTTTTGAAAAACACAGCAAAGGGTATCGTGTTATTAAATACTATATTTCTCAAGGCTAAACACTGTATTTCTCAAAGGAGGTTCATTCATCCAAACTAAATGAAAAGGTTTAAATATTTGTAAACTTGCTCTTCTGCTTTCCCTTGAGGTGAATAACGCCCACTATCAGATACCCTGTGCAGCAAGGGCATTATTTGAAGTTCACTGCAATCTTTAAATATTTGTTATAAATTCAGTGGGATCAAGATAAGGGTCTAAATAAGATATCTACATACTTTATGTTGGAAAGTACTAGAGTTTGGAGGAAACCTTATTTTTCTCTAGATATCTTTCAGTTTATTCTCACACAAGTTCCACCCACTTTTATGAGATTTTGGCATCCTATAGTTGGAAAGGTCTTTATTAATCAATAAGTATACTAAATAAGATTAAAGATTAATCTGTCAGGCTTTTGACTATGTGTTGCCAGCCAGTGCTTGAGTGCTTTGTCACTTCTTTATATAGTTTTGGCAATGAACTGATTCAATACTACTTTCATAATGAACACATTTCCTACTATCATGGACCTGTCATTCCACAATTCTCACTGATATACAGAGATGATGTATTGGTTCAAGTACTAACGTTCCACAAAAGATGTAGGTCTACTTATTTATGTTCTTTAATAGTAAGGAAGGCTGCATGAAAGAGTTAAAGCTTAATCCCTGCATATTTACTGTGTTGGGAGATGCAACTATTTTGGGATAATTCCCTACCTAGTTAGCCTTTAGAAAAAAAGCTCTGTCAAAACACAGATTCAGATTCAGTCATTTGAATACTTGTTCCATAGATTGACAGCATGCATTATGGCAAAAAGAAGTAGTAACCAGAACTAGCTAGCCTTGAAGCAGAAAAGACCACATGACATGTAATAGAGGCCTCTTTCTTATGATTTAGCATAAAAATCCTGCTTCTTGATAAAATTCACCACTGTAAATCAGTTTATACATATTAAAAGCAGGAACCTAAGGGTAGATATCAAAATATTATTTTCAACACAACTTATAATTCACTTCACTACTATAAAGCATTTCAGTGGATAGAAGAAGGCTTTAGGAGGGAAAAAATATCAAGAGTCAGTAATAAAATATTGTCTTTAGCAACACAAAATCAAGATACCGATATCTGCAACACCAATTTCTGTAAACAACCCATTATTAGACTCACTTACAAAAAAGTTTCTTCGTTGATGTATTTTTATGTGATTGTCCATTACAGCATTTTGGAATACATACTGGGGAGCATTAGGGGCCAGCTACTCTCAAAGAAGGGATAACACAAAAAGATAATTAATTTGAAATGATAATTCCTTTGTTGTAATTAATATTCTTGGTCTCATCCAGGAAGTAAAAGAGAGAATGTAAGGGGAGACCATGATTTATTGCTTAATATCAGTAGATTTCTCCTCAAGCTACAGTGAAAAAATTATTGGGGAGATAGCAAAGAAGCTTGTGCTTTAGCTCCCTGCAGCCAACTGATATTAGGCTTTATATATATATATATATTTATATATATAATACATATATTTATATGTATTATATACAATATATATATATAAAGCTTTCAGGTGCAATTTTTTTTCTAAATAGAAAGATACATAGATCTATAGAGCCTTTGACTTTCACAGTATAAATTAAGTACACTGGAATGCCACAATTCCCTTGGAGAGGGTCTTTTTATGAGAGCATGTAGTGACAGGACAAGGGGGAATGGCTTTAAATTGAAAGAGGGTAGATTTAGATTAGACATTAGCAAGAAATCCTTTACTATGAGGGTGGTGAGGCCCTCGAACAGGTTTGCCCAGAGAAGTTGTGGCTGCCCCATCCGTGGCAGTGTTCAAGGCCAGCCTGAATGGGGCTTGAAGCAACATGGTCTAGTGGAAGGTGTCCCTGCCCACGGCAGGGGGCTGGAACTGGATGAGCTTTAGGGTCCCTTCAACCCAAACCATGCCATGATTCTATGATTCTATGAATTCCATTTAGTTTAAGACCTTATTACCACTGGGAGAAGAGAAAATTCACACTACTGCAATGCGGTGTTTACTGATGCAAGTGTATTTTTTTGCAGAAAAGCAGAGGTGGCAGGACACTAGTAGTAGTAAGCTATATTATTTGGATTTGTGAATTCTGGAATTCAGTTGTGTAACTAAATTAGTCTATAACTATTTTAGAGGTATAGATATTTTAGAGGCATAGCTATTTTAGAGGCATAGTAAATTATTTCTAAATAAAAACACACGCATTTCATATGGATATAGCATATACGATCACTAATCTGTAGATTTATAAACCATTTACAATATATCACAGATGGTTTTGCAAATAGGTGTGTCAAAGCTTGAAGACCTCCCAGATTCCTTATTTCAGCCTTTTCCAGTCTTTCCATTAGCATTTAGTTTTCGGACTACAAATAAATATTTATAAATTTAAATATTATCAATTAGAAATTGATCAGCATATTGAAAATTGAGGCTTTTTTGTCTGTTTTTTTGTGGTTTTTTTTTTTTCTCCTTTTGGTTTCAAATTTGTTAAATGTGATTCACATTTTGCACAATGCCGAACATTTCTGTGTTGGCTGATCATGATCCATCTGCATTATGTAACTGTCAAAAGCTTGTCTTGGCCTTGGATCATGTTGAAAGCAACTATTGTACAGAGGGTCATTTGCCATTTTTATGTAATTGTCCAGAGAATGTCCTAGTTCACATTTAAATGACTCCGTGATACAAAATTTCTCCCAGCATTCAGTCAGGGTTTTGTCTTGCTCTGAATAGATCCTATTAAAAAACGGAAATGTATGAATAGAGAGATACCCCACTGCCTGCTTCAACCCACTAAAAGCTATTACATGCTTGTGAATAAACAATATATATACATATATTAAGAGGAAGTCAAAATGAAAAAGTTTGGTCTGAAAAATACCATTTAGATTCAGACAGGTTAGGCTGGTGTGGCCAAGTCAATAGTGCAACACCTGTTCCTGAGAATACTGCCATCATACCTTTATTGTTCCTCATCCCTGAAATCTAGGTTGTTTGCTCTTCTATTACAGCCTTAAATGGGGCATAGCAAGCTACAAATGTTCATTACTTCTTGTACTGTAGACAGGACTGAGGGTGTCCAGGTCATACAGACACTTTCAAACTGAGCTGGGGAGCTGGTTCTGCATTTTAGGTGATGCACTGCAGTACACCTAGTCCTCCTTGAAGCATAGCCTTATAGTCCTCCTTGAAGCACAAAATGTTCCTCCTAGCTCCAAAATTGCCAGCCCCTGACCACTGCACAGTGCGGGCATTCCCAATGTAAAATCAGCTCACTATTAGTGCTGGTCACAGTGTCCTTTGTTTCTGTAATCTCCACGGTCAAGTTACACATTCACATCACATGTTAACCCATGATGCTGTAACTGGAAAGCACTATTTGTTCTCTTCCCAGCTCTCGCTGTCATATTTATCAATTACACATACTATCTTGTTTAGATATCAGACGAGAGACTGAAGAGTCAGACTACTCTGCACAATAATAAAACTATACCAGTGATTTTCTGATCTTCTCTTTTCTGTCAGTCACCAAGATCTGAAACCTTTGTGAGTCAAAATTCAGCACCCAGATCCAGTAAAAGGCTTGGTAAACCTGGTGGACAGACCTGGACTGCATACTTTTGTGCCCACAGTTCTTGTTTTCAATGGCTTTTAGGTATTTTTTAATTGGCAACATAAATCAGGCTTTGAACTGTTAACTGTAAAGTCTAGCAGCCATTAGGCTAGCAAGGAACTAAAAAGGAGTTCAAAGGAACATGAAAGATGCCAAGTACTTTTATTCAAATTATGTAATTCTGTGTCAAAGTTACCCATGTCAAGTCACACAGCTTTAGTTTAACTAAGGGACAATCACACCGTTTAGAGAATCAGCTTTGGTTGTTGATCTTCCGCAAGATCACATTGAGGCAATCTGTAATCTCTAATTAGAAGAGATTTGCTATAATTCATTCCTAAATTATTTTATCATTGGTATACTGACATTAATGAAATGTAAAAAAGGATTGTCAAGTTTGATTCTCCATCTATCACTGACCTTTTAATTATGTACTTGTCATTGGACACAGTCAGCTGTCTCCTCAGTGCTTTGCCTGGCATAAGGTGACTGCTCTGAATCCATGCCTTCATCTTGGTAAAAGACGGATGTGCAGCACCTTCTGAAGAGACTGTCCAAGCTGCTGCAAGATGCAGTGCAGACAGGTTCTTCTGTTGCCGCTCATGTTCCTGCTCCTTTTTATTAGAGAAATCTCCCTGGGCATTTTTATGATGAGTTATACATTGACTGTGGATTTTCAACTTCTCTTTATTGGTGCATCTACACTAGCTCTGTAAGTAGTATTTCAATATTGGTCTCATTAAAACTTCAAGAAGAGATAAAATTGCCTTTTCATACACTTATTCTTTGTTTAGCTATATAAACATCTTTTTTTTCTTTCCCCCCCTAAGGGCCCAGCATTACAATGATTCTAGGTTACTCTGTATAACTATCTAGCCTCACCATTACTTAATGTTTTGCTGGCCTGTGAGTCATGCGCAAGATTTATCAGATATGATAGGATAATTAATTCAATGTGATCAAGCACAGTGTTGAACAGAACAGAAGTGAGCCCTATTTTCTGCAGAACCCTTCCACAAATCACATCCATTGGTGGAAAATCTGGACATAATATTTACATGAATGTCACAAATGACATATACATATCTATATAAAGATACAGAATTTTATATATATTTTTAAAATCTGCCAGCTCACTTCTCTTAAATCCCCCTAAGGTCTGAATCATGGATAAAGCATATTGCCACATTTTCAATCTGAGCCTCATGGAATACTTAATTAAAAATCTTACAGGTTTACATCAAAAAAGGAAAAATATTCATTGTTGGAAAATAAAATTCAGTAAAATATTGATTTTAATTTATTTTATTCTTACCTTTAAATTCATAAGGAAGTTAATTGTGTATCTGTTTTCTGTTATTCTGATGCAGCATGACCAGGCTACAACAGGGTATATCTTGGCAGCAGTATTACAGTGTTATTATCACAAAACTTTTTAAAAAATATTTTTTAAATATCATCTTACTGTTACTGTTTAATAGATAATGCAGTAACACCAGATCTGTTTTTGTAGGAAGAAACTCACTGTAGAAACCTCCTGTTTATACATGAATTAAATATACATCTGAATATCTCCGGAAATTAAAAAGCACAATATAGCCCAGACTTACAACAACTTTGCCTAGCAAAACCAAGGGCTGTCATGCGACTTACTCCTACTTTGCTATAACGCATAAAGGAAGCATAGATCAGTGTGAGAGAGGTCTTACTTAAGATGAAAGAAACCTACCAGATGGGTCAGTTTAGAACTTGGGAGAATGCTGTAAGGTTTTGGAGGGCTTTCTTGCTTGTGTTTTGGTTGGGTATTTTTGGTTGTTGTTTCATTTTTGTAAAAAAGCAGTCTTGTTTTGCTCACTATCAATTAGGTTTCTGTCTAACAGTTCAGCCTAAGAGGCTAACTGCCCACTGCTTGCAGGTCTGCCCTGAAACCAGAGCCTCAGGCTGCAGCCCAGCCTAGTTGCCTCCCTGGATAACTGCTGTGACCCTCAGGAAGTGGAAATCCGTGAAATACAGCTCTTCATTGGCACAGTAATTCTTACCCATCTGCAAACTAGCTGATAATTCTACTGGCAAGTTTCAGTGCACCCTGAAGCCTCTGAGCTTCCTAGTAGTAATCAGAATGGTGAGCAGGTACCTGACCACATTCCACCTTCATTGCCATGCCCACGGGGAGTGCAGCTCTTTAGCCACACCATAAACCACGCTATCATAGAATCATAGAATAGTTAGGGTTGGAAAGGACCTTAAGATCATCTAGTTCCAACCCCCTGCCATGGGCAGGGACACCTCACACTAAACCATGTCACACAAGGCCTCGTCCAACCTGGTCATGAACACTGCCAGGGATGGAGCATTCACTACCTCCCTGGGCAACCTATTCCAGTGCCTCACCACCCCAACAGGAAAGAACTTCCTCCTTATATCCAATCTAAACTTCCCCTGTTTAAGTTTTAACCCGTTACCCCTTGTCCTGTCACTACAGTCCCTAATGAAGAGTCCATCCCCAGCACCCCTATAGGCCCCCTTCAGATACTGGAAGGCTGCTATGAGGTCTCCACGCAGCCTTCTCTTCTCCAGGATGCACAGCCCCAACTTGCTCAGACTATCTTTATATGGGAGGTGCTCCAGTCCCCTGAACATCCTCGTGGTCCTCTTCTGGACTTGTTCCAACAGTTCCATGTCCTTTTTATGTTGAGGACACCAGAACTGCACACAATACTCCAGGTGAGGTCTCACGAGAGCAGAGTAGAAGGGCAGGATCACCTCCTTCGACCTGCTGGTCACGCTCCTTTTGATGCAGCCCAGGATACGGTTGGCTTTCTGGGCTGCGAGCACACACTGAAGCCAGCTCATGTTCATTTTCTCATCAACCAACACCCCCAAGTCCTTCTTCACAGGGCTGCTCTGAATCTCGTCTTTGCCCAACCTGTAGCTGTGCCTGGGATTGCTCCCACCCAGGTGTCAGACCTTGCACTTGGCATGGTTAAACCTCATGAGGTTGGCATCAGCCCACCTTACAAGCGTGTCAAGGTCCCTCTGGATGGCATTCCTTCCCTCCAGGGTATCAACTGAACCACACAGTTTGGTGTCATCGGCAAACTTGCTGAAGGCGCACTCAATCTCGCTGTCCACGTCACCCACAAAGATGTGGAACAAGACCAGTCCCAACTCCGATCCCTGAGGGACACCACTCATTACTGGTCTCCATCCGGACATTGAGCCATTGACCACAACTCTTTGTGTGCGGCCATCCAGCCAGTTCTTTATCCACCGAGTGGTCCATCCATCAAATCGATGTCACTCCAGTTTAGAGATAAGGATGTCGTGTCACAATGTTGAACATTTTACACAAGTCCAGGTAGATGACATCCACTGCTCTACCCCTGTCCATCAGTTCTGTAGCCCCATCATAGAAGGCCACCAGATTGGTCAGTCAGGACTTCCCCTTAGTGAAGCCGTGCTGGCTGCCACCAAGCACCTTGTTTTTCATGTGCCTTAGCATGCCTTCCAGGAGAATCTGCTCCAAGATTTTGCCAGGCACAGAGGTGAGACTGACTGGTCTGTAATTCCCCAGGTCATCCATTTTCCCCTTCTTGAAAATGGGGGTTATATTTCCCTTTTTCTTCAAGGCTTTCTGTCTTGCAGATAATGACACATTCTGTGTGTGTGCACCATACCCGCTTGTACCTCTAGCTGTGATCATCTCCTGACAACTGCAACTGTACTGCATTGCTCTGCTCCAGCTAGAGCAAGGTGCTTGGCTGGGCATCACAGCTTGCCTCTGGTATCTCTGACCCTAGCTGGAGTACTTTGCTTTCTCTGGAGTGTCCTACATCTTTTTCTGATGATAATTCTTGTTTGCAACTTGGTCCTGCTAATTTAGGGCATAGCTGGATCTCTGCCTCCCCTGTATGTAACTGCATTTTCAGCTTTTTTAACTAGCGAAGTACCTTGTGGACCACTTAGTACTGCTGACCTGGAGGCCCTGACCTTAGAGTGAGTTTCTGTTAAAGGTCTAATCATTAAGGCAATGGTCCTTCCTTACAGAGCATTAGCATTCTGCAGTAACAGACTGTACTCAGCCTTTCCTGTTTAAATTCCTGATAGCTTTTTCTCATCTAAACACATTTCCTGTTTTTGTTCCCTTAGACAGTTTTATCCATACATAGTTTCCTTAATCTCGGTTCCTCAAATTTTGGCAGCAAAGGTTCACAACTCAGTTTTATAGTTCTGCCTCAGTTAGGGAAATGCCTGCATCTTCCAAATGCCTCTCATGAGAAAAGCTGAAAACAGCATCTACTTTCTTGGGAATAAAGCCTAGGTATACTAGCCAAAACTCAACATGACGGAATAAACTGCGTAGAGTACTTTGCCAGATTATTCAAGCAGGTGATCTTGTGACAGCAAGGAAGAATTATTTTTGCATATTGGAGAGAAGAACAAATTATACTGTTCAGCAAGGCTTTTATTTCTAGATCTTTTACCCCCTTCTTCAACACTGTGTAATCCAAAGTTACAACTGAGTCTTGCAGATAGTGATGACAGCATTCTTCTTTCCTTACAATGGATCTAGGATTTGGCATTAATAATGTTGACAGTATTTATCTAATACATATTATTTCTATTGCTAACTAGAACATTTTAAAGACAAAATAGTACTAAAAATATTTTTGTGTTGTTTTACAAATAGATTTTATGCCTATTTTAACACTGCATTTTTTAGAAAAAAAAATATTTTATTCTGTTACACAATTGATTCTACAAACTTTATTCAGAGAAAAATAATGTCAGAATCCTCCTCAGGTACATGTGATTTCTTTTTTTATGTGTGAGACTTAAACAGATCAAGGGCATACTTCAGGGCAAAATTTCTTAGCTTTCAAAGGGAAGATTATATTAAAAGTATAATTTGTAATACCAGGCACCATTAGACATAGTGTATTATTCATCTAAACACCATAATGTTATTCAATTCACAATGAAAACTGAAAATTAATAACTTGCCACCATTGATTTTCTGTAGTTTGCACCGATACTGAGGAAAGTGAACCAGTCTACTTGAAAAAAAAAACATCAGCCCATTACTACTACAAGCTTTAAGGATATTGAACATGTAGACAAACAACAGAATGATTAACACCACCCAAGCAACTTGGACTAATTTACGTAAAAGTGAAGCAAATGCCAAGGCAAACAAAAGCGCATTGGAGTAGAACCAGATATGTGCTGGGTTCACTTGTTCCTATTTGGAAGGTGAAGGATTATAAACTGCTGTTTCCTGAAGTAAAACTATATCTGTTTTTCTCTGAGTAATTATTCATTTCATATAAACCAACAAAATACAACCCATGTTGCCACTACATTCAGCGAATATCCTGCATATTTATCCACATCTCTGTGATGCCAGGAAGTGTTCTGCTTTTTCTAGTCAATTTAAGGGGAAAGTAGTGAGAAAATTAGTCAATAGACACACAAAATTTGGAAACAGAAATTAACTTAGATGTTACTATTTCAAGGCTTAAACTACGAGTATTTTTACCTTCCTCCCAAGTAATTTAGTATCAGGCTTTAGACAAAAAGGTTATAATGACTTTTCTAACTTACCCAATAAAATCAAAGTTTTTGCACCACAGTGTGTCACCATGATCTGTCTAACTTCGTAAGAATTTTGACAGATGCTGAGCACCCTGGCTGTAGATCAGGAATGCACTTAAACACATGTATAACTTGAAGCACTTCAGCAGTTCCAAAAGAGAAATTCCGGCTGTACTGAGGTACAGTAAGGGCAAAGTAATAGCAATTGTAGCATTTCCAGTGACTTTGGTCTATCCAGAATTTGAACCATGAACTATGTGGCTTCTAATAAGCTGCTTAAATCTAAGGTTTGTTGGTTTATTTAGGTCAGCTGGTGTAGATAAGAAAAAAACCCACAATCTTCAGGGCACACAAGCCCTTCCTCAGAAGTAGCAGAATTTGAAGCTAAGGACAAGCTAAGAGTAAAAGCAAACACAGATGTTTAGTGTAACTCTGGACTGAATCTGGACCTTGTGTAGCTGAGAATGAACAGGAACACTCTGAAGATTCAGCATAGATGTAAACATAAAATCATGGCAAAGGCCTTCCTTCAAACCTGCTTCATGTTGCTGCTCCATAGCAATCACTGACAGGATTTAGGCAGCTTTACACAGGCAGCTTCAAGACTTTGTTTCTTCTCTGTCTTTTGTAATCAAGAAAATCCTACAGAGTCATAGTAATAAGAGTCCCAAGGTCTGGTATTAAGACTTTTTGCCATCATGCCTGGTGAAGAGAAGGAAAACCCCACTTTGATATGTATTTCAAAGTTATTTTACTTGGTATTTATTGATGAGTACTCACAGTTATTCAACATTCTAAAAGGGAAAGACTACTGCCATGACCATAAACTGTTTGCAAGAATAAAAGGATCATGTATTAAAAAAATATTTTTCATTTACATGTAAATATCATGTACTTTTCATTTGTAAGAAAAAAAAACTGTTTATTGGATAACATGGTCATAATCTGTTCCATACAACCAATAGACTTTGACAGCAATTTATTTTAAATTTGCAATTACTGAAAAAATCTCCAACTCTCCATAAGCAATCAGTCCTATTCTTTGTTGATAAGCTTTGTCAGCAAAATGGTTACTGTATTTGTAGTATATTTATAACTAGGAATGAAAAACCACTTGCATTAATACATTATAGAATCTATCACAGTAAGTAATGTTCATATGTGATTTTTAAATGCAGTAAAAGAAAACAGACTATTTGAGGTACCTATTCATAAAAGGTGCCTTTCAGAGTATGTGTGAGACATCCAAAAGTTGTAGTATTTCATTACAGTTACTTTGTGTTCATGTGAGAGGAAATGGTACATTCCCGCAGTAATTTTCATGAATGTCTCAATATAACATCATTGGTAGCTGTTTAAATCACTGTACTTCTACAGATCTTGAATAAAGATGTCTATCTTAAATGCATTTTTAAAAAGACACCAACTTATGATGACCAAGCATCATAAGATTAAACATTATACTGATGGGCATTTTTGCATATACACTGATGTTTACTTCCTGTAATTTGAAATTGAAACAGTCACTACATAAAGATTTAATAAAGCTTTACACAAGTAGAATGATACCTCAATTTGTAAGTTTTGCTGATTTAACAGCTGCACATGAATATATATATTTACGTATATCTAATTATTACTCATATGCAATAACACCTACAAACACACTTAGTGGTTTACAGTGCTGTTTTGTACTTACTGTGAAATAATTTCAACTTCTCCATACCTACAAAGGAACAAAGAACAATATAACTGCACAGACAACATACCAAAGAGGTGCGTATTTCATAATATTACATTTGCCTGTTTTTTCGTGGTTTATTTTATGTATAATTCATTTCTGCTATAGGTATTCTAATTCATTTGCAGCTCAGGGTTAGAACAGACAGTAGATTATGTATTTTCTTTGCTGTAACTATTGAGAATTAAATTTAACAAGATAATTTTCAAAAACATGCAGACCTCACAAAAAGAAATCTGCCTTCAAGAACATTTGCTCTATCATATTTTAGGAGATGACTTATCTACAGTGTTTTGAACACTGAAATCATCAACAGACTCGCACAACTTGTTGGAAACCTGATCTTTTGGAAAGGTTAATACAATATGAATTAAATGTCAAATTCCCCTCTGCCCCCTTGCTGAGCCTTCTCCTAGCAAAATACATGCAGTCCACTTTCAAGGACCTCTGAATTACACTGTAAGGGTACACAAAGCTGATTCTCCTCCCATATTAGCGTAATTAGCACTGCCTTCATTAACATTAACAGAATCCTCACTGTGTATTTCAGGGCAGCACTGGGCACTAGGTCATGCATAGCACTCACTGGCTTATACGGCATGTGTCTCCCTCCCAACAGCCCCATCCTCGCACAATATACACCTCAGAATCCCCCAAAGCACTGACAATAGTTACTTAAATCCATGTTAACAAGCACTATAGGTGCTGGTGTGGTGAATTTCTATTTGCTTTGATGTCTACTTACTGTTTTTTTCATTTGTTTAAATTTCAGATAATGTAACAGAGATTCCTGCGGTTGGTAATAATCTACATATGGTGCCCGTGGGACCACAACACAGATGGGAAGCCCCTAGTCTATCTGGAAAAGAAATGGGGGTTGTTAGAACTGTAAAAAAGTCAAGAAGCTGGCTAAAGGCAGAACAGCAATATATAAATAATTTAAAAAGTGAAGCAGTGGTATGGAAGAAGGTACCTTGCATTGAATCCTGGGAGCATTTTGTTTTCTTAGCACAATAAATGAATTAGATAAAATTTTACCTTAGTTTAGGCATTGAGCTATAATTATGTATATAGTTATGTGCTTTATTCAGAAAGTACTTTACCTTGGTCTATTTACTTTTCCAAAGATACACAGAAATTAAAATTCTTGCCCACTTTCCTTTCTTTCATAACAATTACACTCAATTTCTCATACATGATTTTGCATACTGTGTCTCGTTAAAAATGAGGGCAAAAAAGTGGCTGAATCAGATAATTTAAATTAATATCTGAAAACCAGCAAAATAGAAGGCTGGAGGGTGGTTATTATGCCCACAAACCACTATATGTTCCACATCAAACATGAGAATTCTATCTATTAAGCACATGCAGTAATAACTAAACATGACCTAAGAGAAAATTGAGCCCAAGAGCAGGTGATGGGGAGCCAAAAGGAGGTCATACCAAACAACAGCTATTTGTTGTTAAAACAAGCAAACAAAATCTCTTAAAACAATCCTCTCTCAGGACTGAAGAGGCAAAAAACTCGCACAGCTTCTGAGCAATCTCCCAACTTGTTGGATAAGGGAAAATCTGTACAGTTCTAACTATAGGGATGAAATATGCAATTTCATATAACCACACTGCTGTGAAGCAAGTCTAATCAATGGGTTAGAGCAAACACATTTCTGACATTTTGGAATAAAACTAATAGATGGTGTACTGCCCAAATGCAGATTATATTTAACTACAGCTTCTTTTACTATGTAGTAGAATATTTTAATTTGTAAGAAAATACATTAAGGCATCATGTAAAGATCTTTACTAACTCCGGATAGAGATTCAGGTCTCCACTGCTCTACAACTAAACATCATATAAGAGAGTACCTGTAAAGCACAGCACAGACAATGTTTCTTCTGAGTATTAAAAGCTTCCTGGCTACACTAGTTAGTGCAATCATTCTTCAGCCATATCAGGCACTGTAAAAAGAGTATGGGTTATTCCATGTTCCTGAGAGCTTCTATTGTTATGAAGTGACTCTAGAATACAATAATTTATCTCCTGGGCCGTTATTCTAGAAGTAGAACGAAACAACTCACATCACTGAATATGGTTGAAAATACCTTTTATTATTTCAAAGAAGACAGAATAAGGAAAGAATATTGGAAAAGCCCATGTAACCTGAAGTAACTATTTCTTCTACACCTTTAAAATTAAGATATCAACAGAAATTGGCTGCAAATTTCAACACAAGGAATGTGCATGTCAGAAAAAATATATGCAAGCAGATCTTCAGGAGTAACCCTGGTTTTGGTAATGTCATCCATGTACAAACAGATACACCTTATCCATGTGTTTGTAATAACAAAAAGGTAGCAGAAAAGTCCCTAATTAAGGAAAAAAAAAAAAAAAGGACTAAAACCAGAATGAAATCTGTATTTCAGACTAGCTAAATGTGTCAAAAAGCAGACAGTAGACAGATAAAAGGAGCTCCAGCCTACTTCACCCTTTACACTTCAGGCATAGTGACAGTGTTAAAAGGGTAAGAGGGCAGAGATAGAACCGTAGCAGACACTCCTAGTCAGAGGTATGAAAACGTGTGTGCCAGGCGCGTGATTAAGTGAAACAAAATCCATGCAAAGTTGGGGTATCCTAGTGTCTTCATAACATCTACGTCTCTCATTATCATATTTCTGTCGACTACAATCTCTGCTTACTGCTTTCTTATCCCTTAATCGGCACCCTTTCACTTGCCAATATTCAAATGTGATTTTTATCCTTTATTTCCAAGCCAGAAAACTATCCCTAAGCTTATTTATTTTCCTCTTGCTTAACTCCATTCAGCAGCAGTCAAAATTACTACCTCTCACATTGTCACAGAAGATGCCAGGAGCCCTAAAACAAGACTAAGTTCCCATATGTGAGCTAAACTGTTTTTTAAAAACTCTTATCCTATGGTACCAGTCTGCACAAGAGAACAGAAAATGGCTGGTGGCAGAGAAGTAAGCCTCAGATGCCCAGCCATTCTCCAAAGCAGCAGCACAATGAAGATGGCCAAATAAAATCATAGAATCACAGAATGGTTTGGAATGCAACGGAGCTTAAAGCTCATCCAGTTCCAACCCCTGCCATGGGAGGCAGGGATACCTTCCACTAGACCAGGTTACCGCAAGCCCCATCCAACCTGGCCTTGAACACTGCCAGGGATGGGGCAGCCACAGCTTCTCTGTACCAGTGCCTCACCACCCTCACACTAAAGATGCCTCAGAGGTCTGATTAAGTTCTAAAAGCTAATGTTGTTCAGGGTTTCTTTAAGAAAGAATTTTATACCATACTTTGCTAGAGTACATGATTACCAACCAGAAAATGTTAAAAAACTGTTGAAGTCAGCTTAATTGAGTGTTATCTACTTCATTTTACACCATTTCTTCACCATTAGCAAAGATCCCTGTGAAGAAGAAAATCTAACACATCCAATAAAAAAATGAATTTGATACACTTTTCCATCAAGTATTATACAAGAAAACTTTTTATTTACCAACTGTAGCAATATCTGAGTCTGACCTAAAGTCTTTGTACTCTAATGCTAAATCATCTCCTGTACTGTAAAATTCTGCTTTTTTTTTGAGCACATTCTGGGGGCAGAAACCCTTGATACCCTACAGAATCAAAACATCCAAAGGACTCACTGGGGAAGATTAACCTCAGTTTAACAGGTCTGCCTTGTGTAGACTGTTGTGTCTTTGAGATGCTTTGACTGAGACTTTGCTGAGATTCATGGCATTTTATCTCACTTTATCTCATGTACAGGCTGTTTTATCTATGATATTCTGTGAAATGTACTTTGTTTCAAGCTGGCTGTGCTCACAAGTCGAGCCAGGGGTCATGCAGTAGCTCAGCTGACCTGGCCTTGGGCAGGAGGTTGGACTGGATGATCTCAGGTACAAGGCAACAAGCCCTTTCTTTTCTACTCCAGACACCTCAGTATATGCATGCTGGGGAAAGAGCTGCGAGCGCTCCATGTTCTTAGGGGCTTGATACTAAAGAACACTACAGTGAAGCAACAAAACAAGCCCTGGATCTGATGTGGATGTGCAGGACTACACTCGAGCTCTGTGCAAGTAAAGAGGTACATGAAAAGGAAGTTAATGGAATAGTTCTGGGCCGGGGTTGGGATCGTTTCCCTTGGCTCTCTTTCCATGGGGAACACGCAGTTGACCGGCGAGCATCAACAGCAGCAAACCCTGCGCTGCCCTAGCCCCATCCCGCTCCTAAGGGGACGATTCCCTTACAAGGCACCCAACGCCGGTGGGGGCCGGACTCTCAGCCCCTCTCGCAGGGTAGAAGGGCCCCACGCCGAGACCACACAGCAGGGACTACGGCCGAGCAGAACGCTTTCTCAGCCACCTCCCGCTCCCCGCCACGCCTCAGGCGGCCTCACCCCCTGGAACCGCCCCTGCGGGCGGTGGTACAGCCCTGCCCGGCGCTCCCCCGCCCCACCGGCCAATGGAACCGCCCACCCACAGACGTTTAAATTCGAGCCCTCAATGGTTTCCCCCGCCGCCGGCAGGTGAGCGGGGCTTTCGGTGGCACCGCCTGATGGGAGGAAAGCCGTCTTCCCCACCGGGGGCCCGTTTTAAACACCATTCCCGTTTTGTTCCCGTTGCTGTCACCCCGTGTCCCCCCCCTTTCCCCCCCCCCTACAACGGCCCGCCGATGCCGTGCGCACGCGCGGCCCGCGCCACCCCGCCTTCCCGCTGTGCGCGCTCTCGCCCCCGCCCGCCCCGCCTCAACCCCGCTCCGCGCCGCCGTGTGGGAGGTGCGCGCCGCCGATCGCCTCCGTCGGGGCGGGGGCGGTGCCGCGGGAGCTGCAGCCTCCTCTCGGTCCGCGGCGGCCCCGGTCTGTGCATCGGTTCCGCTGTTGCTCCTGCTCCGCTTATCCCGGGGCGGGTTTCAGGCTAAGCCTCCCGCTCCCCTGCGCTCGCTTGTGAGTGCGGTAAACTCGGTGTCTGGTGTTTCCACCGCCGTTGCGTTTCAGGTGAGGGAGGGAGGGAAGCAGAAAGAGCTCGGAGGCACTCACTCCCCACCTCCTCCCTTCAGCGCCTCTCCGGCGGCTCCGCGCGCGAAGCCCCACTGCTTCGTCGCTTCTCTTTTCCCAGCTAAATAAAGCCAGCCTTCTCGCCAACATGGGCTGCACGTTGAGCGCCGAGGACAAGGCGGCGGTGGAGAGGAGCAAGATGATCGACAGGAACCTGCGAGAGGATGGCGAGAAGGCGGCCAGGGAGGTCAAGCTGCTCCTCTTAGGTAAGGGCTGGCGGGAGCTGATGGTCCCATGAAGTAACCCCATAGCCCTGAGGTGAGGTGTTCCCTCCTCCCTGCGCCGCCCTGCCTGAGGTGACGCCGGGCAGGTGCCAGCCGAACTGGGGCGCCGTTGAGGCGGCACAGCGGGGGGCTGCAGGGCGGCTGGGCGGGCGGTGGGATGGTCGCCCCTGGTAACGCCTCAGTGGGCTTTGTGCTCGTGGCCCCTCAGAGGTTCGTTCCCGGCGTAAGGAGGGGGACACAGCGGCCGTAGACGAAGATGGGCGCCTCGGCTTCTTCCCGGGTTAGAGACAGGGCCCGCTGGAGAAACGGGGCGGTGTCGTTTGCCCCGGGGCCCTTGCTGAAAGCGGGCCCTGGCTTCCATCTGAAGGGGATAACATCTGAAACTTGTGACGTGGGTTCTGCGTGCCTCGGCTCAGAGGAAGGAGATAACTAGGAGGATGTTCGCTGTTAATGTTTCTTGTAGACCTGAACGTCTAAACTGTTGCCGCAAGAATAAAGTGCGGAAAGAATCAAAGGAGCACACGGCAAAGCACCGTTTAACTTCTGGTGGTGTTTTATTTTTGTGGAAGTTGTTTGGGGAGTATAACCTAGATGGGGTTCCAGATCTGTGACCCACAAATTACGTGACCTACATAATATACTGTCATGTATTGCCGAGTTTTGCTAAAAAGTACTTGAAGCTGACTCTCTTATATATTTTAAGGGATATGCTTGGTTTTAAAGATAAGTAAAATTAGATGATTTTAAAAATGCCTATACAAGAGAAAAGAGGTTTAATTATAAATACGTTTGTGCAGAACTAAAAATACTGTACAACTTCCAGACAGCTGAATGCTGAAAGATTTGTATTGTATTGATGATGTAGGGAGTTTTGCAGTATATCCCATATAGCTAAACCAGACTGGGTCCTCTTAATCCTGAGTTAAGGAGCTTTTGAGTTGCAGCTTTCCTCGTGCAGCCCTTCCAGAGCTACAGTTTCAGTCAAACCTCGACGTTAATTATGCTAGATTACTCATCTGGTGTGCTTTGTTCACTGCAGACGTTGTAATAGACCTCTTAAATAACTTCTTTCTGTTGTGAAATTCTAAAATAGCTCCAAAAAGGAACAGGAAAGTGAAGCTTTTTCATGTGTAGATGAAGAGATGAAACAAACTACTATGGGAAAAAGGAATGTTTTAAAATGTGTTTATGGATTGTAAAATTTGCTTGTGAGGGGAACGATTAGAGCTTTTTTTAATTGGTTTGTTTTCCAGAAAGTGATAGGCTTCTGGTTGATGCTGTGCCTAGTCCTTTATGCCTCTGGAATCCTCAGATTGCTGCATGGAAAGATTATCCTGTGTGGGTTCGATAATAGTACTGCAGAAGATGTTATTGACTTTTTCAAAGGTGTCAGAGTAATGCTTTATATGTCTTTTGACAAGGCATTTAAAATGATTTTTCAGTCTGTTTTTCGCTGTGGAAGTTCTAGTACATGTGGTTTGGTAGTCATCTTCGTATCTCTTAATCATGTTCTGGGGATATGGATAAAGTTGCCATCTGTAGAAAGATGCTTTAAATTTTAGAATTAATTTTGTCACCATTTTCAGCTCTTTAATGCTGTTACATCTAAAGCCCTGTGTTATGAGCTTCTATTTTTAAGTTTTATAAATTGTTTATAATGCAGAACAGCTTTTGAGAAACGTATGTTTTTCTGCTGGAATTTCATAAAATCTTAGTATATGGAACAAATGCTCAAATATATGTGTTTTCTCATAGTGATCTAAGCAGTAGTTCAGTTGGTTTAGTATTTCCCTTTCCCCCAGTAAAAGGAGGTTTGAAAACTAGCAGGCTAACTTCTTTAGGATGAGTGTTTGAATCACCATTTAAACAAAAATTACCTACATGTTTACTGATCTTCGAGGTTTTGTATGTACACCTATGGATGTATTTGTGTATTTCGCATGTCTTGGAGTGAAAGTTTTTCAGTTACTTTTCCTTGTAACTGTGTCAGATGTCTTAAATGTTATGTGAATGCCTTATCTGATGGCAAAACTATTTAAAGTTACTTCCACTAGAGTCACTGTCTTCTCACTGTTCACTTTCCCAATTGCTTGTTCAGCCCATATGTC